CAGCACATTCATTCGAGATTTGGAACAGCAGACTAGCAATGATACATTTGAAGTTGCCCACCTTGCTCTCAGTGATCTTTTCCAAAGCCAATCTTGTCTTCTCTGTCTGTTCTGCAATTGTTTCTTCATCGGGGCGTTGTATGTCCTCATCCTCTTCATCCCAGACTTTGGCACGCATATCGGATAATTTTGTATAAACAATCTGAACATGTTTATAACAGAAACTGACCAAATTATGAAGTTGATGGAAATTATGTAGCTGTTCACCTTATTTTTATCGTGGCCGATTCTCGCAATAGCGTCATGCCTTAATTTTCCGTCTGCGTCATACTGCAATGCGATTTGACCCTCACTTTTTCCTTTTCGTTCTCCCATGCCCATACCAAGCGGAAACTGAGCAAAGTGGATCTCTGGGAATGCTCCGCCATCGCCGTAGTCCTAAATCACCCCATGTATTGGAAGATAAATGGAAACTATGAAATGAATTATAAGCACTTTCGAAAAATAAGATGTATACCAGCATAGATCGAATATGGTAAATTACTCGTGAGTTAAAGAAAACCCACTTCGGGTGTGCGCGGTTTGAAACCTTGACGTTTCCCATAAGGAGGCGGTTCTTTTACAACAATGGCGGTAGAAGGTAATGCATCTTCTCGCCCGCGGAACCAAGGATCTCTTCGCACCTTAGATACAGATTAAATGCGCAATAGAACAGTATTAGAAGATAACTTACTTGTGAATATTCGTCTGTGATCGAAGACGGTGCAGGTAGAAGGCTAAAGCATTACCAATGAAAGTGAGATGCGAAAAATTTGAGAGAAACCAATGGTAAAATTAGCACTTACTCGGACAGTTTTAGCGACATTCTGCTGCACTAGATTTACGTCGCTAAATTGTAAATATGATTAAAAGGCAAGAAAGTTGGAGACAATAGATAGCGGCAAGACAAAGAGATATTTGAGTAGAAAACTACAAATTAATCCCAGAACCACGCCAGAGCAAAAATTTTATTGATATATTACAAGAAAATAGGAAAATGTACATGGCATAAAAAAGCGCATGAATAGACTGAGTGTAAGAGATACAATCGAGTTTATGAGGTCATGTTAGAAGAGAAAGATCAAAAAGTGAGTGAAAACACAGGTAAAAGACAGATCATATTACTTCAAAGAATTCAAAGACTTGAGCGCCATGGCTTCAATCTCCGATGAGACTTCATCAAAATTCTCAATATCGTTCTTCATTTTATAGCGCTAAAAACAAATTCAAGGAATGGACTAGAAAAACCAAATTCTTTCAAAAG